TGTGTATGCATTATCTTTATCTACGTGGAGGCTTCCAACGCTACGTTATATGCAATGGATGAATCAAAGTGACATACTAAAAAATACTCATAAGGTGCGAGTTAAATTCTCCATTGGGAATTATATGGATACTGTAAATTGTGATATTGCACCATTGAGTGCATGTTATTTATTATTGGGTCGACCATAGAAGTTTGATCTTGATGTTACTCATGGTGACTGTTCTAATAATTATTTATTTATGCACAAGGGAGTTCATCATGTGCTCAAGCCGATGCCGGATGGTTCTACTAAGGCTGGAGTGTTTTTGCTACTATCAAAGTGAATGCAAAAAGCTGCTGGTATTACCCCAAAGCCGAGGACGGCTTTGCTTCAATAGAGAGAATGACGTGGCAGTAAACTCTCACACCATTGCTCACGAGATAGTTCCTGCACCAATGATTACTGCTAGCGTCCCTGATGTCCTGACAATTATAGATGATATCACTCATGGTGTTCCTATACCGATGGCTATTGTTTCTAAAATTAAATCCATGGATGACGTGGCTTCTGAGTCTCCTATTTATGATAATGTGAATTCTTCGAAAGGTTCAACTCCCACTATTGAACATGTTTTTGTTTTGCCACCTGAAACTGGAGTTAAATATTGTAATCAACTCAAGCATGTCACAACTAGAAAAATATGCCGAAGCCGAGGATGGCTTTGCTTCAAGTGAGGAAGAATAATGAGCCCATGACTGCTCAAGATATTCATACAAATCAGTCTAGCATTATTTTAAATATAGCAGCCTAGTAATTTTTTGAAATACTCTGGTCTTAAATTTGGTGCTATTATTTATAATGAGAAATATAGCGAGAATATGGACAAATTTACTACTACTGGCCTACGGTCGCAAGGTATCTCAACAAAGAAGGGTTGAACTATGAAAAACACGTTTATATTGGTACTGTGCAGGTTCAGATCAGCGAGTTGCCAACTTAAATTTGTGCAAGCGGCAACATTGGCACAGGTGCCGGATTATTTAATTATTATATATATGCTGCACTATCGGCTTGTTTAATTCAAAAATTAGTAGTCATCACATCGAATCTTACGATATGTGCATAGAGCATTAAATATAGATGAAAAAAAACTAATTGCACAGTTTGGTTGGAAATTGCGAGACGAACGTTTTAAGTCTAATTAGTCAATGATTAAACACTAATTACCAAATAAAAAAAAAAATGCTACCGTAACCAAATTCTCAAAATTCAGGAACTAAACACAGCCTATGTCAATGTGTGTGGTCGTTGCTTCTCAGAGGGGCTGGTGCTAATCAAATCATATCTGGCTGCATCGTACTCGTCAGGTTTGGTTTGGAGTCAGACCAATCGTCAGCCTGTTCGGCTGGTGCTGGCTGGCTGGTTGGGCTGGTCAGCCCCCTTACATGGACACTGGTTATATGAACAGTGTTTTCGAGCTAGAATAGTATTTTTCTCTCACATAAACCAGTCAGCAGAACTTCTTCACGAACCAGCAACGATACGAACCAGCCAACCGAACATGCTGCGTGTTTGTGTCAAGCTAGGTATGGTGCCTATGTGGTCAGTGTCAAGTGGGTGCCAGAGTTGGATTGCCGTGCCTACGCCCACTTATAAGGCTAAGGCTTAGCTTTGTAATTTTTATATTGGACTAGATATGTGCCCGTGTGTTGGACGGGTCATAAATTTTATCCACATGTATAGTAATAGTTTGATCATTTTACAAAATAATAAAAAGCTAATAAATGATTTTCCGCTTAGAACCTTGAACTATTTTTAATTTCATTCTGACCTCTTTTTGCTCTCTTAAGTTATTTGTTATCAACGTGTCAGCTGGTTACATGGACCTCCGTGTGGGGCAGTGGTCAAAGAACTTTGTATCGGATCCGATATATCGTTTCGGCTTATACGATCATAGATTATAAACTGGAACAGTATTTTTCTCTCACACCAAACCAGCCAGCAGTACTTCTGGCTTATAATCCATGATCGTTTCAGCCGAAACGAACAGGCTGATAAGTAGAGGTGGCGACACGGCATGACACGGCCTTCTCGTGCTCCGTGCCGCTTTGCTGGTTCCTACCCTGCAGGCACGCAAGACACGTTAGGCTGTGCCGAGAACCTTGAACTATTTTGAATTTCATTCTGATCTCCTTTTGCTCTCTTTAGTTATTTCTTATCAACGTGTCAGCCGGTTACATGGACCTGCATGTGGGACAGTGGTCCATGGACTTTGTATCGGATCCGATATAAGTAAAGGTGGCGACACGGCACGGCACAGCCTTCTCACGCTTCGTGCCGCTTTGCCGGTTCGTGGCCTCCGGGCACACGAGACACGGTAAGGTAAATCTTTTCTTCAGCCCAAATACGGCCCGTGGCACATCGCCCTTCAGGTCATGCCGGCCCAAGCACGACCCTTAAAAATCTCTGCTAATATTTTTTTTGTCTTGTGATATAAAAATATATATCTTATGTGTACTATTTTCATGCAAGTTTTAATGATTTTCATAATCTATTCAAGAATTAGATGAGAGATTATAGTAAATTACCTTGAAAGTTGTAGATGTGTATACGTGCCGTGCCGCCCATGGCCCAAAATATGGGCCGGGCCATGTAGCCCGCCTTGTCGAGATCCTGAGAACGGCACGGCCCAAAATATTTCGTGTCGTGCCGTGCTAAAAGAGCGTGCCATGACCCGCTCTCAAACGGCATGACCCAAGTCCCAGATCTAGGTATTCGTATCAGAACCGGATAGGACACGGACACGTGAGCTCCAAATGAAGGATAATTTGTATTGAATTCGGATACGTGAGCAGGAATCGAGACTTTATTATGCATGCCGCCCATATCTAAACTCAAATATATTCAGCACATGGCCATTCCTAATTAACTCAACGGCCAGATCACATGTGCTAATCAAGAAGCAAGAAACCTTTTCATATATACACATACACCTATGTACGTGGTCATGCATGACAGAGTACGTGTTGAAAGGAATAAGTACATACGAACGGACGACGTGTTGCGGACCGAGACAGAGGCAGAAGACCGAACCATACTCTAGGACGTGGTTGGAGCGTTGGGCGCGCGCACCAAAAAATATTGGACGAAACCAGTCCGTACTTTTAAGTAGTAGTAACAGATTTTATTTGTATCTTTCATCTAGCTAGGTTAACTCCTACGAATAACGAGAGGACGTCTCCTCTCATCTACCCTTCTGAATTGAGAATTGCTCATGATCAAGTTTCGTCTTATTCGCATCTTGAATTTCTGAGAAATCACGGTATTGTGACCGTGGTTCGTCGTGGCTGTGGGTGTGGAAGATTTATCTAGGATTTGGATTGCATCATATTATAGGTCGATCCCTGTATCATGAGTCTATCATTGCTACTGGTCTGTAATATAATTGCCGTGAGTTTTGTCTGCTCCATCTATTGCTTATTCCAACTATATTGGCGTGTTTTTAGATCGTGGACCTACTTGGATGCTGTCCAAAATCCGCCCGGCCAAATCCATGGCAGTCCCAAACCTTTGGCGCTCATTTGGTTTGAAACCAAAGAATTGGTGCGCCGAACCTTCCAGCTGAATTGGCGGTGGACACGAGACGTCGAGCGCCAATATTTTGGCTGCCTTCACAGCACTCCTATTGCCCTCGTTATTTTACAGTATCACCCTCCCACCGACACAGCAGCCACCACTTCCCTCTAATCCCCTCCTTCTCCGTCGTCACTTTTCACGGCCGCCGCCACTTATCTCCTCCGTCGCCTGTGCCAGTCCTGAACCTCCACCAGTCCATGGGATCCCCCAGTCCATCACTCGTTCCTATCACAGATTAAAGGGACATATCCTTCCATCCCTACCTTCATAACAGATCCCTTAATCCGTTGGGGAACAAGGAGCATCTTCCCTCATCTGGTGGCCTTTCATCTCCGATTAATCCATCTATTCCTACTAGCAGTGTTTTCCTCCTTCAATTCTCCATCCATTTTCTAGGTATGAGTGTCTAATCTATCATCCGCTTACAGATCTGCTGCAACAGAGTGCATAGGAAAACGTACTAGGAGGCAATCGCCCCAGCTAGATCCGTTGGTACACTCCTGGAGGTAAAATCTTTCAAATCAAGTTCTTTTGGTCTCTCTCTGAGTCTTTGCATGGCTATAGGCTTACAGCAAGTTACTACGATTGTAGTTGTTGTTCCTCAGATAGTCAGATTCCCAACTGCATAAGCCCATTGCATATTCCTCTGTTAAGATTTCAGCATTATTTATATGATGGTTAAACAATTCGCCTTGCCCATTAAAAAAAGTCTAGATATAACTGACAATTGTTTGATGACAATTGTTTGATGCTCCACATCGTGTACGTTAGTTCAAATCACTTTAGTTTAGTTGCATATATTAGTTTGTTAAACCAGCCCGTTCACTAAAGTAATATAATTTATTGGCTACTATACATGCCAAGTACTACTTTCCTTTGCCATTTATGCTTGTGCATATCAAAAGTTATTTTAATTAACTTGCTGCTGATACATGCTTTGCATTTTATTTTTCATTTTTTATTCCTGCACATTGCCTACACGCCTACACCTTGATTGGCAATGTTCAGCAAAAATTCCTCTGTTGCTGTATGTCGAGGCAAAAGGCCCTAGCTTTTTTTGTTCTACTGCTGGCCTTGTGGTGGAGGAACAAAAATCACAAGAGGAGTACAGCCAAACGCATAAAGTATGCTCCACTGGTGCAAAGGGATATATGGCATAGTAGTGAGCTAATTAGGTTGATTGATACCTCGGACATAATATGTATGCGTGAGCTCAGGATGTCTCGGCCTGTATTCTACAAGCTTTGTGCTCGGCTTAGGGAGAGGGGACTATTAGTTGACACACTTCATGTTTCAGTAGAGGAGCAGCTAGCAATGTTTTTGAAGATTGTTGGGCAGTACCACACACATTCCTCTGTAGCAATAGCAATGTGGAGATCGGGATGGACAGTGAGTACGTACTTTAATGCCGTCCTGCGTGCCATTGTCAAGTTAGCTCCTAAGCTAATTTATGTGAGATCTATATCCACGCACCCAAAGATCACTGAGAGTCCTAACAAGTTCTATCCATATTTTGAGGTAACTCTCAATAGTGTAAGCGATTTATCTTTTATATACAATTTTAGATATAAGTGCTTTGACACATGTTTGTCTCTATACATAGAGTTGTATAGGGGCACTACATGGCACTCACATCAAGGCATGTGTGCCTGCTAAATCTGTGGATAGGTTTAGGGGCCGCAAGTCATACCCCACACAAAATGTCCTAGCAGTTGTCAACTTCGACCTACACTTTACTTATGTCCTAGCAGGGTGGGAGGGATCCGCTCATGATTCTCTCGTGGTGCAAGATGCCCTTTCTCGTCCAAATGGACTAAAAATTCCTGAAGGTATTCATGGATTTTGAAAATTTTGACAGTCTCACCGTTATGACGTCACATTAGGCATTATGTTAACTTTGGTTGTAGGGAAGTTCTATTTGGCCGATGCTGGATATGCCACTAGGCCAGGCATATTACTGCCCTACCGTGGAGTTCGCTATCACCTAAAAGAGTTTCACGGAGCCCAAGACCCAAAATGTCCAAAAGAGCTTTTCAATCACCGTCATTCCCAACTTAGGACAACAGTTGAACGAGCATTTGGTGCTCTCAAGAATCGCTTCAAGATTCTTAGCAACAAGCCATTCATACCCTTGAAGTCACAGGCCAAGGTGGTCATTGCCTGCTGTGTCCTTCATAATTGGATACTAACGATGGACCTGATGAGTTCATATATGATGAGCCAACTTGGTACAATCACCTACCAAGGAGTAAGAATCGTGTCTCCGATCGATAGGCTGATGTACGTGAGTGGGCTACGAAGCGTGATTCAATTGCCCAACAGATGTGGAATGATAGACTTAATAATGATGTTACCATTGACAATTAGTTAGTACTTGCTGCTGTCTTTTGGTTTTGTGTAGTTTGGTGGGTGTGTAATCAACTTTAGACTGTACTGCTGCTTGTACGCGTGTAAATAATATTACTGTTATGCTTAATGGATTACCTTTCTTTCTATCAAACAAAACATTATTTATTATATGTTTAATAATGTTTGTTACTTACTTTTAAAATGTATTCTTAGCACGGGTAAGGAAAAGAAAGATGGGAATGCAGATGCTGGATCTCGTCAGAAGTACAAAACATGGACTGATGACAGCAACGAGTTCATGCTTCAGTGGTATATTGACTACCTGAAGGAAAAAACTGCTACCTCTACGTGGAAGCAACACTACCACCATATGTGCGCAGAAGCTTTAAATGCTAGATTTGGACTTGGAGCTACCACACAACAAGTTGATCGCCATTTTAGGGCATTCAAGGAGAAGTGGAATTGGATAAAAGTAGCTATGGACAAGAGTGGCTATGGTTTTGATGCAGGATCATGCAAGTTCAATATTCACTATTAAGAGAAATCACCTTCCAAGCTTGGGGTAAGTGTATCCGCTGCATACATGTACGTTTATTTTTTCATATAATATGTGTAGACTCTAATATTACTGGGCTCACTTGTTAATAACTATTGCAGCCTAGAAAATACAACTATCTTACACGACCTATTAAATTTTTCCATTTTATGGAAGAGCTATTTGGAGAATCTACCAAAGCTAATGGATCCTTGGCTGTTGACCAGTGCACTGTGGATGGTGAAGATGATAATAATAGATCAGGGAGTGATGAAGTATATACTCCTGAACATGCTGAGAATGATTCAAACACTATTGCTCCTAGATGCCCACCACTTGTAGGCTCTAGTTTCAGCATTAAACGAAAGAATAAGAAGTCGCCTTGGAAGAAGCATGTAAAGGATAAAGCAAAACGTGCTAGAGCAACAGGGGATGATGAAATAGCTGCAAGTATTGCCATGCTTGCCAAATCCATTGCATCAAGTTGCTCTGCAACTACAGATCCGTATGCTAATCTTTGGAAGCATATTGAGGATATACCTTTCCCACCGAGGGACAAGGTTGACATTGCAACCGACCTTTCAAAGCTAGAGCAGGTTCATTTGCGGAACTACTTGAATGCTGCATCAGACTAGTCATTTGGAACTTGGGTCACTGATTACCTAGGTGCCAAGTATCGTGTTACTGGTGTGGATGATGGTGAGTATGGTAGCTCCATGTGAATATGGATGCTCAGACTTGTGGCAGTGGGTATGCTATGAATATGGTAGCTGTATGTGAATGGGCCTGTTTGCTTGGAGGAATTCTGGAGGAATTTAGATGGTTTGGAGGAATGTTGGAGGAATTTGTGAGAGGAAAACACGGTTCCGGATGAAAAAAGAAGCGGATCAAGCCGGGTTTAAGGGCACGCGAGCGGGTTTAAGGAAAACACGTCAGATGGTGCTGAGACTTGTGGTATTTTGGCCATGCTTCAGGTGGAAAGCATATGGATGCACTGACTAAACTGGTGTTATTTTGGGTATTTTGGACGTGCTTCATGTCGTCAGCATATGAACTTGTTTATATGGTTAGGATTTCAGTGTCTCGTTGTATTATTTTAGCACAGTGGATATTATGCTGTGGTCATCTTAGATGAAGATGGGTGCATTTGATGATCCGTACATGCACATAATATAGTAATATGCTATCTGGACTTAATCTGTGATGCATACTGTGATTATTAGATAATTGTATGTGTTAGGTATTAAATCATGCGCCTTGGCATATATATTTTGACATCAAACCAATCAAGGTCCAAAATTTTGGCTGTCCCAGTTTGACACCCAACCAAGTGCTATACCAAAATTTTTGCCAAAGTTTTGGTAACCAAATTTGACATGCCCTAGTTTTGGCTTGCCCTAGTTTTGGCAGGGCAACTTTTGGATCCTATCCAAGCAGGCCCTGTTTCAAAAAAAACTGTCGCCGTGAGTCTCGTCTATTCATACTACACCTACTACACGTGTTGGGCACATTGATTAATCTATACCTAGCTTGTTGTACCGTGAAATATCAGAAGTGGATAGCAATTGCTAGTACTTTTGCTGCCGTGGAGACCTGCTGGATTAGTGCAGCTACTAGAGTACGTACACAATTACATGCCAACCAAAATTAGTTCAGTTCTGGAACTTTGTTTTCTGTTGCAACTGTTATACTTATTGCTGTCTTTCAAAGGAAAATTCAGAGAAGCTATTTTATTTTATCTGGTCCCGTGAAAGATTGGAATAAATTTCCGGACATAGTAGGCGTGTCCTTATCAATGCATGAATATGAAACCAGGAAAAAAATTGGATGGATACAGTATCCACCCAGCCTACCGTGCATATACACTCTTATCAGGCACCACGTGTCCCATCTAGAGGATTGACGATTGTGCTTCATCTGCTGTTCACCCTGCTTTGCCTCTGGTCCCCCGCGGCCGTGCGCGGCTACGGTCGCCCAGGCTCCTGTCCGCTACGGCTGCCATCAAATCCCTGCGACGTCCACACGGCACCATCTGACGTATGTATGCACGGCTACCCACGTGCATACCGTCTCCACCAAATTTTCTTCCGTGAAACCATGGCCCGTCTCTTTGATTCTTCGGTTATCCTCACTTGCCAGCAACCACTCCACTCCAATATAATCAACCTGGTCAGCAATAAACGTAAATCAATGTAATTGGAGACTACTTCAGGGATCACCTTGGATTTGTAGGGCCATATCACTTGTCTGAATTTTAGAGGAATCTGGATGGTTTGGAGGAATGCTGAAGGAATTTGTGAGAGAAAAACACTGTTCTAGATAAAAAAATAAGTGGATCAAGCCGGGTTTAAAGGCACGTGAACAGGACCGTAGTCGCAAGGCCGGGCACCTTCCTATGGCCCCATGGCTACAACCCTGGTGGCCTCTCTTTGCTGGAGGCTTCCTTTACCCAAGAGGAAATCAAAGAAACAATCCACTCTATGTCAGGAGTCAAAGCGCTAAAGCCTGGATAGTTTCATAGGGGTGTTCTTCAAAACCTGCTAGGAAACCATCAAAGTTGATGTCACAACGGCCATCAATAGTCTTTTTGACATGAACTCAGGTTTTGACGTGCTCAATTCGGTGATTATTATCCTTCTCCCTAAGAAACTAGATGCCAAGCATGTCACGGATTACAGACCAATCAATCTCATGAACACCTTTGCCAAACTCTTCCCCAAGCTCCTCGCAAATAGTCTAGCACCGTTACTAGACTCCTTGGTTTATAAATGCCAAAGCACGTCATCGATAAAAGAAGCATACATGATAATTTTATATATGTTCATAACACCGCGAGAAGACTGCACAAGACAAAGACACTAGCCCTTTACCGTTAACTGGAGCTATCTACTGGAGGTTTTGAGGCACTCGATTTTGGGCTTCATTGGAGCGAATGGGTATCCATTCTGTTCCCTACGACAACCTCCAGAGTGTGGCTCAATGGTAAACTGGGACCAAAGTTCAACCACACTAGAGAGGTGCCACAAGGTGACCCACTTTCGCCCTTGCTTTTCATCTTGGCAATGGGCCTGGTGCAGCGACTGTTTGACCTCGCCATTGGTCAAAATGTCCTCATGGAGCTGCCTCTAGCGGCAAAATGGAGGACATCCATGTACACTGATGACGTGACAATCTTAAAAAGCCCAAAAAAGGACATGGAGGTCGTAAAAATTATTCTTGGAGCCTTTGGTAAGGCGTTGGGCCTGCGCATAAACATGGACAAAAGCTCCATCCATCCGATCAGATGTGAAAACATTGACCTTGATCATGTGCTCTTGACTTTCTTAGGAACTAGGGGCACATTCCACTGCCGATATCTTGGACTACAGCTGCACACCATGCCTCTCCAAAAGGTCCATGTGCAGCCTCACATAGAATGCTTCGGCCAAAGACTCCTAGTCTAGAAGGGCAAGTTGCTAAACAAAGCTGGATGCCTAATGCTGGTCACTTCAGTACTCTCGTCCATGCCTACATGCCACCTTACTGTTTTCCCATTAGCCACCTGGACCAAGAAGCAGATCAACAAAATCCGACAGTCTATTCTTTGGAAGGGAGAGGAGAATGCAAATGGGGGGCATTGCCTATTCAATTGGCCAACGGTGTCCAAACCAAAGGAGTTTCGTGGCCTAGGCATGTCTGACCTAGACAAAGTCGGGAGAGCGTTGTGTTTACGATGGCTATGGCAAGACTAGGTGGATGGCCAGCTCCAAGCCCTGGGCCAGGTCTGACTTCCCTTGCAAATCGACTAACAAATTACTATTCAACGCCTCAACCATTGTCACAATTGGAAATAGAATAAAATCACAATTCTAGCATCACAGCTAGCTTGATGGAGAAGCCCCTAGAAACCTAGCACCACATCTCTTTGAGCTAGTCAGAAGGAAGAATAGATCAGTCCAACAGGAACTTCACAACAAGTGGATTCGCTTTCTCAAAGACAAGATCATGGCGGCCACCCACGTGGAAGAATTCGGATCCCTAGATTAGAATATAGAGCATCCAGTTGCAACCGGGGGTGCAAGACTTCATTGCACGGAAATGGACTCTCGATGGAATATACTCTACCTGATCGGCATATTGCATCTAGTTCCACGGGAGCTTTAGGAGATTCAGGCAAGACCTTATATGGAAAGCGCATTCGGAGAACAAATGTAGATTATTCGCAAGGATCCTGTTAGATATATGGGCCAGGGGTACCTGCACTGCCCATATATGTGACCACCGCCAGGCTATCGGCCTAGCAGCCACCAAGGAGGAGGCCCGCGAGGGCTGACATGATCGACCAACATGGATATCAAGGTAGACCAAGGTAGGCGTATTCGGACGATAGCTAGAATCAATCTGTTGCGCATATCGTGTAACAAACTGGGAACTCAATCTGTTAGCCCGATTGCCCTCACTGTAACCCTACCTCTCATTCCTATATAAAGGAGAGTAGGGACCTCAGGCTCAGGATCGACACGATCCACCGTTCCAATCTACCTCGTAGCTAGGAGCAATAGCCCATGTAATTGAGTATATGAATACAAGAGCAGCAGCACCACTGGAGCAGGGTTTAGCGCGCTACCGCACCCCAAACCAGTATAAATCCTTGTCTCATGTGCTACCATCTAGATCCGTCTACACGGTCACGTTGCTAGGCATTGCCGGAGCTAAATAATCTGATAGTTGGCACGCCAGGTAGGGGCCTTTCACGTTCAGACTAATCTTGTGTTTCAGATGGTTATCGTCTTCAACTTCAGCGACAAACCAGAAGAGGAGCAGCCAGGCAAAAAGATCACCTTCTGCAAGCTCGACTTCATCACCGACCAATTCAGGGACCTATGCCTCTAGGAGCTAGAACCAACCGAGGAAGGAGAACAGTCCCTCTAGATCCGCACTTTCACCGCTGGACTGGTAGAGGCTGTGGACATAGGACTAGACACCCTCGCAAGGTACCTCAAGTGTTACACCCATTTTTTCATCGAGTATAGGCAAGAAGGTGAGCTAGTACCCACTTTCCACATCAGCAAAACCACAGATCTCGACTCCACTTCATATCCGATACCAATACCTCATCGTCCCGCTTCCCAATCTTTGACAAGATCGAGGCGGACGACGACAACCTATAGCGAGATACTCTCGTAGGCTACGGTGGAACCCACCGAACCTCCCACGGAGGAACACCAGCCACAAGAACCGACAGACCGAGATGATGTCGAGGACACCCCCGATCAGTAAGATTGGTGGGACGACGTCGATGTATCATGACTCATCGACCCAGAGGCTTTTTGTCGCTTCCTCTATAGCTATGACCAGCTACTCGAGGACACAGATTCCGATGGCGATGATAATGAGGTCATCTCACGTGTATCAGGCACTAACACCAAACCATTATCGGATGAGCAGCCAAAACTCAGATGGTCCTCTACGACGAAAGGGTGAAGCCTTTCCCCCAGCTGGAAAAGGAAGTGGGGTAGCGTGGCGATCATTCGAGCACTGACCCCACCTCGGGAAACTCCCGATACCTACCTTGTGCCTACAACCCGACGGCCAACGGCTGTGAGGAAGAGGGGATATGTTATCGTCCCTCCTTTGTCAAGAAGGGAACCCCCGTTAGGCAACAAATCACAAAGTAGAAACATTTGAGGGAAGGACCCATGTTACCATGGGCGCCCCCCGAGCTGAGTAAGGCCAGAAGCTCTACGAGCTGGCCTACACGCATAGCTAAGTGACTGCACCGGTCGTCTCATCATGCTCTCACCCACCCAAGAGCTCGATCAATCTTGACTCATCAGCCATTTGAAATTGGAAACCCAAAGCCAAATGGCCCTTCCATCAGCAACATGAGGCCTCATCTAGATAAAAGAGATGATGAAGGGCTACAAGGAGGGAGGCAACGGTGTCGTTCCCCTCAACTTCAAACCTAATGCTGACCCTTGCTCCTGAAGACACGATCTGGCGATGAGAACTCATTGAGCACCACAACATCAACCGACGACCATTAGTTATGTTTATTTCACCCCTGCCTTTTCACATTCTTCTCGTTGCATTACATTCTGCGAGAAATCTACATGTATCCATCTAATGTGAATGTATACTAACCCCTCCCGAGCACCTCGAGGAAGGTATTCCCGAATCACTCGGGGGCTGGTTGTATCAGAACGACCTAGTCACAAATATCTATAGCTACTATGATTGGAGGGTTACACTAACCTGCCATCACAATCAGAGACTGTAGGAACGGTCCTATGGACTGCACACCCACCTCTTTTTTCCTTTCAGCGATTGAAGTCTTATAGGCCTTGAAATGGTATAAGCGACTTAACAAGACTTCGGGTGGTGTCGGTGCAGAAAGTGACCAACAAGTAAATATTTCTAGTTTTATCGTACGTTGTGATAGGAGGTGGCCTAGCACTCAATGACACAGGGTTTATACTGGTTCAGACAACGTGCCCTACGTCCAGTTTGAGTCAGTTGGTGACTTTATTCCTAAGCCCAGGTGCTCGAAGTTTGCAGTGGTGGGGTTACAAACGAGAAGGAGGAAGATGGGGTGCACAAGAGGTCCGGTCGGCTCCGGTCGGAAGGGCCAAGAGTGATAGGGGCTCTGCTATGAGCTAAGTGTTCAAGCATGCGCTTGAGGTCCGAACTTGGCGGTTCTGTGGTTGTGAGCTAGTGAACTTGATCGATCTGTATTTACTTGGATGAACTTGAATCAACTGAGTCTCTTGGGAGAGAGCGCATCCCCTTTTATAGATGAAGGGGATGGCCTTACAAGTGAGAGGGAGAGAGTACGTATGCTTCTAAGTCTTGTTGCCCATGCCGGTGGGTACAGGATGATGGTAGGAGCCCACAACACTGTTGGATGTCAAATGCACGTGGGAGGTTACGTCGTCTTTGTTTGGGTATGGCAGATGTCGGTACCTACAAATATTGTTGATGCCCAGAGGCATGTGAGGAGTTTCACCATGTTCGCTTGGTATGGTAAATCCCAGCGCCCACAACACTGTCGATGCCCAGAGGCATGTGGGGGGCCTTACCGTATGGGGGTTAACGGCGCCCACAATACTATAGAGGGAAATGTCGGCGCCTACAAAACTATTTGTGTCAGGGCAGTTTGTAGAGTACTGTTCCTGCAGGTGTATAGGGTATGGTCCCTAGTATTGTGGTTTGACTTGAGCGCCTTGCCTTGCTTTCTCCATTCGTTCCCTAGTCCTTTTCGGGTGGGCGTCCTCGGTCGGTTGGTCCCAGTCGGCTCTGGTTGCGCCAGTCAGAGAAGAGTAGTGAGCAGGGCTTCTGCGTACCTCGGTCAGAGATGCGGGGCTGGAGTCGGAAGTAGTGCTTTGGCCAAACCTTTCGGTCAGAGAGGCTATCTGGAGGCGGCTAGAGTCGGAAGTGAGCACTCCAGTCAGAGAGGTGGGCCAGAGTTGGAAAACGGGTGCCTCTCCTCCTTGGCCAGACCTTCCGATCGGTGATTGGATCGCCCTTCTGGCCTGTTTGTCCAGATACTTGGGCCGGCCCATGAGTTGCTTGCTGTCTGCTTGGGCTGAGCCTTTGTTGGGAAACCGGTCCGCGAGGGACCCCGGGTTTATGAACCCGACAGGAGCCCCCGAGTCCCAGGGCGATTTGGGCAGAATCGTCTGGGGGATTTTTGTCTTGACGGTGGGTGTGCGTGAGCGCACCCACGGGTGTAGCCCCCGGGCAGTTTGGGCAGAACCGTCTGGGGGGTTTTCCGTGTTGTCAGTGGGGCAGGTTTTTGTTTCGTTGGCAGGTGTGCGCGAGCGCACCTGCAGGTGTAGCCCCTGAGCCCCCGGGCGGTTTGGGTAGAACCGTCTAGGGGTATTTGTTAGCGGGTGTGTGTGCGTGTTTTTCAGTTGAGATGGAGTCGTCAACCAAGGCGTCGTTGTGCAGCCGAGGCGGTTAGTTGTTTTTAGGAATCGGGTGAGATGGAGCTCGTAGATCCTAGAGTCGATGCGTGCCGTGGGATCGGGTGAGGCAGTTAGTCTTTTTAGGGATCCGACGAGGCAGAGCTCACGGATCCTGGTGTCGGTGCGCGCTGTGGGACTGGGTGAGGCAGTTAGTTTTTTAGGGATCGGACGAGACAGAGCTTGTGGATCCTGGCGTCGGTGCGCTGTGGGATCAGGCGAGTCGGAGTTGTGGATCCTAGCCTTGGTGCGGCCCACGCAACCGAGGCAGTTAGTTTTTTAGGGATCGGACAAGATAGAGCTTGAGGATCCTGGCATCGGTGCGTGCCGTGGGATTGGGCGAGTCAGAGTCGTGGATCCTGGCCTCAGTGCGGCCCGCACAACCGAGGCAGTTAGTTTAGTTAGTTTGGGATCGGGCGAGCCAGAGCTCGTAGATCCTAATGGGGCGAGTTCGGGATCATAGACCCGGGTGTTTTTGGAGCGTAGTCGGAGCGTAGCCA